ATTATTATTATTATTATTATTATATTGCAAACTGCTTATTGTAAACGTAAAATAAATGTTCACACATTTGAATATTTGGAGATAAAAATAATGTAATCTTTCACCTAAAACTAAAAGTCGTTATAAATCAATAATTTTACTATAACACTCTGTCAGATATAAAATGTAAATACCATATTAGTATAAGTAGTACTCATAAGCTCACGTATTTCGTAATCATTAACACATACACATATGGACGGAAATACAAAAAAATATCGCAAGTTAAAAAAAGCCATTAAGTGTTCATTGAAAAAAACACAAAGAACCAATGTAACGCGCGTTTTTTAATTCTAATATTTTTCGCGGAAAACTGTTTTTGTACGAATATAATTTCGTGGGCAAGGGAATATACGAATTTCGTTCGATCACGTGACTCGTTAATAACGGGGTGAAAAAATTCGGGTTCGAAATCGAAACGCGATATCGTAATTAATTAATTTACCATCGGAACACCCGCGCACGCTACATTGAATCACGACAAAATAAAAAATAACGCTAGCATTTTTTTTTCATTATTTTTTTTTTCCATTCCCCCCGATTACATTTTATTAATTACAACCCACACGCCGACGGGCGCATAACACAGTGGGCACCGTATACAAGTATTGTTCGAAGTACCTAAACGTTCTCTTTCTCGCGATTAAAAACGCGATTAAACGATGATGCCACGTGCAATCGCGTAAATGGCGTATGAAGACTCGCTAGCGCCCCTGGTAAACTTAAAAAAATACGCTTTTTAACCAATTAAAATTTGATGTTAAGATATTTTTTTTTTTTAAGGATACAATTTATATTTATAAGTTATTATTAGTGAAGATTTTAAACTTTGAAAATTTGCTTTTCTCGCTTTATGACTAGCAAATTCATCGATAATTTCTTCATATGAAATTTTTTATTTAAATGCCCTTATGCTATTTTCATAATTTCATCATTAAATTCACACGTAGTATGTACAGTGTGTACAAATAAACAAAATCTACGTATTTCAAAAAGTTTAATGGGAACATTTCAATTTTATTGTAGGATAAAAATACAACTTTTGCACAATTTTGTACCCCTTCAGAATTCGCGCCTCTGGCATAGACATAGTTCACCATGCTCTTGCTACGCCACTGAATCGCACTCACGATTAGAAAAATACAACGGGTACTACAGTTCGTACAACGAGTAATACAGTTCAGGTCGGCAAAACAATTGTCGGCCAGCTGAAGATATAGTTACAAACGATTGCGTTTCCGCGAACGTTCCTGGCGTGCCCGGGGAAAAGGTTGCAGATGTTACGACCAGGTGGTGATCAAGTTGGGTTAGTGAACAACCCGGTGAGAGTGTTCTTGGGGAGTCGCTGATTTAAAATTAATTGTCAATTTGTGCGGATTTCCGCCGCGGCGGGATACGGGTGCGCTGAACTTTTCAATTTGGATCTGGTACGACTACGCGCGTATTTCGAACGATAACAATAATAATAACGCAAATCGTGAGGCGAATTCGGAATGAATACAATTTTTCGTCAACTTTTACGTTCCCAAACGCTCAATTAAGTTTAATGCGTATACGTAGGTACGACATTCGTACGTATCATAATTTATACTCAATACGGGTTTCTATATTTTCATCTTTTTCTCTTTGTCTCTTTCTCTCTCTATTTCTACTTTTTTTTTCTTTCTGCGAGCTGTCCCCGTCGCTGAATGTAAAACACAATTTAATAACTTATCGTCTGAGTGTTGCGCGACGTGCGGAGCGTAAAAGCAACTTGATGCTACGATGTAAATAATAAATTCAATTTCATAATCTTACAAAACGTCACATCCTAATATCCCTTTTGTTTCCGCGCTAGCAGTTCTCTCGCGTCCCCGTTCTATTTATTACACTTACGATATAACGTTACTCGCACTGTTATTTGAAAACACTTTTCTTTATATATGATAACCATGACCAGAGGAAAAATGTCCACTTCATTTCCGACGCACAATGTCAACATTCGAGGAATAAAGTTTTTCGGCGTTAATGGTTCTCGCAAATTAAATGGCTTTCGATCATTTTTCAGTGAAACAGGACGAGTTTCATTCATTACTATGTGATGCACGTATTTTGAGAGTTTAAATCAATGAAATTACTTTCATTAAGACTAATAGTATATTAGAAAAATCATCAACTCTACACGCAATACGAATCATAAAATTTATAAAATTCAACAATATTTTAATGCCGCGGTGTTGATGCGAATCCTTTACGTACATTTTATCGATTCTATCTATTATTTCGAAATTAATTATATTCGTTTTAGTTTTTCGCACATACAAAATATTCAATCGCTAGATACCTCCTAAGCGCACTGTTACCGTTTAGTTTCACATCGAGAGTTGTTCAATTGATAGTGGTTTGAAGATATAAGATTTTGATTTAAGATAATTTAGAATGATTTATTCGAGATAATCTTCAGTTAATATATGTCCACGAAATGTTGCTAATCGATAAACGATTTAAAAAAAAATTAAGAGGAAATATTTAGTCGATTTTAAAATATTTATTAACAAACAAATTGTTATTTCCATATTAAACATTAGAGTACATGTTTGAAAATATAAGCGAAATAAAATTATGATTAATATTTTATACGTAAATAATAAAGACCGTTTAACATTATTATAATTAAGAAATTTTAGATTTCAGAGAATATTTCATGCTCGAAACAATATTTAAAGCTGTACTACAACAACATCTACAGCCAATATTGATGCAAATATTTTATGTTGTCGTAAGCTTAATTTTAGTAAGTATATACAGAATAGTTGCCATTATAGTAAATATATCTCTTATACTATACTTATAGATCATATAATTCGGGTTTAAAAATAAAAATTAAATATTGTACCGTAAAATATTTTAAATATCTTTCTCCGTCCCGTAAAAAAAAAAAAAACATAATCTTTAGAATCGTTCTATCACAAGTCTAAAATTTACCTATAACCCTTTTTAGTTAGGTTAATTATGATTTATTTTAGTTGTTTGATTGATTAAATTTTAGATTAATTGTCTATGGAAATGAAGTAAAACCTATAAAGATACAACGCAGTTGATTATTCCGAAAATAATTCAATTATCAGACCAAAATGAATTGTTGAATTCTTTATACTATTATAGTAGTCCGTCCATGTCTGTGCCAAGAATAATTAATCATCGAGTTCCTCATAAGGTAATTCATTGCAAAAAGCAAGTAATAAATTAAAAGATAACACGCAAACAGGTACGGTTTGAAATAAAAAATAAAACCATGATAGATGACATTTTAAAAAACCTCTCAATGAAAGTGTATTCAACGTTTTTTAATCGGGTATCTGTTTTAATAATTGTGATGGGTTGTTACGCTTTGCGGAAACGAAGCGAAACTACTTATAATCGTTGAAATATTTCAGCTGGAACATGTATATAAATTATTAATATCTCAAAATTGGCCAAATAGTTTGCTTTAACATTTTAAAAGTGTATCTACTTATAAACTACAATGATTCATTTAGGAGAAAATGCACACCGGAAAATCTATATTGAATTATGTTTGTATTCAGTTTTAGTTTTTATGAAGAATCTCGATTCCTATAATGACGTTGAATAGTATTCACTTTCCAAACCATATTTATGATATATTAATAGGGTAGAAAAACATTTTCACGAAACGATCGTCGAAAAACAATAGGTACAGTTGAACCCAATTTATAATCGACGAATAAATAAATAAACATTATTTATACAGTATATCAGTAGTAGATAAATTATACGAAATATCGTCGTGGATGCCCGTCAATGATATTAAAAAAAAAACGACCAATACTGGGATGTATATGTAAATGGTTTATATATTATATTGCATCGATTTCGCAAATCAAAACTTCTACTCGCAGTTAGATTTAATTTCAAATAACTGTTGCCCGTTAGTTTCATTCGCATATTAGTGGCTTATTCTTGTGATCATGACGCCCGTAGGCAAACTAATAACATGTTATTAAAGTAATCAGGTGCGTACACAAATAATTTTTTTTTTTTTTAGAAGGGTATGTACATTTTCATAATTTTTCTGAATTTGGGGGGGGAGTAAATCTCCCAAACACCCCTTGTGTATGCGTCCGATAATAAAATAATCCAACGAGTAGTTCGTAAAGATATAATATTGACAACGTGGAAATGTGTGTCGTCGGGAATTGATTTACTTTTACCAACGCGTGAACTCAACCATGGTAACGGTGACGTATTAAGCGCTCTTAAGGAGTACATCACACTTTAAAGGGAATAATATTTATACGCGACCGCATTTCGAAGCGTATAACTCGCCTATAACGAACGAAAATAGGTGTATATTTATACGCGGGGCATAACTTTTACCTCGTCATTTTTAATTAAAGTCTTTCCATAACAATTATTAGACACGCGTATAAATGATGTCACGTGGAATCGTTTAAATATTTATCGGTACTGTGTATTAATTTTACGAAGCACAACTATTATATATATATATATGTGGTGTATGTATATCAATTGACTAATGAAATGAATAAAAGTCAAATTCTTTACATGTTTTATCTTTGCGATCGGGAGCAATTGCGCGTTTGTACAAACGGTTCAAATATTGTTTGTTCTCTTTTACCGAATATTAATGAATTAATTATCATTTTCAATTCCGCGCGTCAACTATTTCTACGACAAACAGGTGGATAAACATTTGAAACAGAAAATAATTGTACAAAATCATTGCAGAGTCTAATCCGTTTATGCTATAATGTAATATTAATTTTAACACACCCGTATTTCTTGTAGCATCAAAACCAGATGATAATCATTAAATAATCAGTTTTCATTTTATACCAATACACATATATACATACTATAACCATGGTAGCGCGGTTACTTCGTTTAAATTTACGTTTGATGAAAAAAGGATAGCAAGGATAATAAATACATTAAATTACCTGACGAGACCGTAACCGGCCAGACAAATAATATTAACACCAGCCAGTACGTCATATTCGTTGTTTGGTTTAAAGCCGTTTGTCGGTCGTTCGTGCCGGTGTCATCGTAAGTATCTCTGAAAAAAAAAATAAAAATATTAAAATAACAAATCCATCATACATTTGGCGAAAACCGTGTGCCGTAAATAATATAAATCTGGATAATTTGATAATAATTTCATCCTCATCATATAGCTTTTTATAATCGAAAACAATAACACTTTGATTTTTGTAATATTATTCGTATTCTTGTATACTCCGACGGACCGATCGGCACGGGAAATGGTTTGTTTCCATACGAGAGTAGAAGGTTAGTTAGAAGAAGTAGTTCTTAAAAGGCCTAACTGAAATTAGTATGTATGCAACGAGCCTAAAAAACAGCAGGCTGTTTGAAAAAATAGTAAGTAATTCTTTAAAGGCCTAAGAGCTGTTAATCTGTATGCAATGAGCCTAAAAAAACAGCAGGCTGTTTGGAAAAATAATAAGTAGTTCGCAAACGGGCTACCCCATTGCAAAGAGCCTAGTCGTTTTGCAAAAAAACTCATTTTCCATATGGCCTACGAACAATGACATGTTATCCTAACCGACGAAACAACGTATTAAATTATGACGCCACTCTTTGGCAGTGCTTATAAAATACATTTGTGTACATATTTTTTTCACGGATGGGAATCGTCAAATTGATAACTGAAGAAAACTTCAAAACAATAGTTACTCGATAAAATAACGAGAAAGAGTTGCGGGTTTGTTTGTAGTTTTTTATTCAATGGAGAGTTAATTAAGACCTATCGTAGAATAATTAATTGGTATTGTGGAAATGATTTATAATCTGACGACTAACGTGCCAATGTATTTAAGTACGACATATCCGTATAGTTAATAATCATTGTATCGTATCGCAGCGGTGTATCCATCGTTTCTTACACGTTTCCACGGTCGCAATTATTATATTTTTAAATTTTTTTTTCGCACTCCGGTCCACGGGTGTCCATAGGTCTAAACGTCGACGCACTGATTACCAAAAATAACCCGTCTGCGATAAAAACATAAACGAACTTCGAACCGGGCCTAACATCCCCCGACACTGTAGCGCGGTCGATCGGGCATACGAAAACTTCCGGCGGCATCGCGTTGCAGTTGACGTAACGCATTAATAATTTTATGCTAATAATCGCGTTACGACGGGGGTTCGATCGGCGAAAAGTGTGTACGAAACAATTTTTCAACGTTAAACGCTCTCGTCCCGTCCAGGTGAAAAAGTTCCGCGCTGCAGCTCTGCATACCATTGCACGGTAGTACGACGTGTATTTCCCACCGTCAATTTCAGCTCGTGAACTCTAAACTTTTGTACTCATTCGGCGGACAGTGGTTTTTTTTTTGTTCCATACGCGTAAAAACGTTTTCGTGGAAAATATTATTATCTTCGATTTCGAAGTGCAGTGATGTCAATGTTTTGATTGGAAATTATACCGACCAGTGGCACACACAGGATTTTTTTTTCGGGGGAGGGGGTAAAGGTAAAAATATAACACATTTTACAATTAAAAAAATTATGCAAATCCTTAATATATTTTGACTTCCATAATAGCATTGATAATAGTCTAATCTATAATCAATGATACTAGGTATTCAATACCTCAATAGCTTTTTGTATTTCAAACTTGTAAAATTTCTAAATTTTAACCTAAACTTCGGAGAAAATTACTAACCCCTTACCCCCTCCTGCGTGCGCCACTGATACCGACGGTGAAAAAATAATAATAAAATATCATGTTAATTTACGAAAACTATTCGTAAAAATAATTATGTTTCTTTCTAGCAGCGTTCCACATAATTTTAACGTCGATCGATGCGTGTAATAGACAGCTAACAAAATTGGAAAAAAAAATGTTTTTTGAAACATCCTACATGCGTTTACGGGGAAAACGAGTGCGTTTAGCGTGAAATAAAAATCGTCTGTACAATCGACCAGAACGCTTTTTCGCAAATCAGTTGGCTAATTAAACCGATACACCGAGTGTGTGATAGAATTAATTTCAACGTTTTTTTATTTCTGCGGACCTTTTTTAATATCCATCGTCGGTTTTTTCGCCTCCGATTGACCAAAACGAAATTCGATTAACAAAATATAATCCGTCCAGTTCGTTAATTGAGTTACAAGCTTACATAACCGACAGCGGCATGATATAATAAAGAATTATCGCCGCTTCGCTACCAGTGTAAATTGTCTGGCTCGAGAGCATTATTGCTTTAAAACCGGCCACGCTCGTTTACATCGTCCATTAATGTTTTATTTATTTTGTTTTTTTTTTTTACAAGATTTTGATCATCAGGTCTTTACCAATAACAAAACGCCAGAGTTCTGATTTCGTAAATCAATCATCGTGGCTGCACGATCCGGATGATCCATAAGAAATACGGATTAAAAAATTCATTATGTTTAATCGAATGATCATCGCAACCGTTATTATTTTATTCGCGGCGGTTATGTTTGAGTCATTTTTTCGCAGCCATCACAGTAACGTTATATTTTTAATTAAATCACCATATATCAACCGAAACGCACATTAGAGGAATTTCATTAGTTTTCGAAATATTCAACTTACTTTGTTACTACATAATGTATACTTTGTTCATATTAACGATATTTTTTTTCTGTCTCTCGATAAAACAGTTCCCAAATATTCATAATTCAGATTATTTTTTTTAAAATACGATATCGAATTCCAGATTTCGAAACTTTTCGAAAATAAATAATAAAAATGTTTATTACTTCTGCGGAACGTTGTATATTTTTTTAAGTTATTAATATTTTCAAATGTCAACATTTTTTATTTTTATTTCATATTCAGGAAAACAACGTTTTCCGGAAAATGTTCGTAGTTATTACAAATCGATAGAAGTAAAATATTTCGTATGTCAATAGGTAGAGCCAGAAGAGTGTTCAATACCGTATTGTATTATATAGAATATTATGTCTCCGGTCATTTGAACCGCGAACGTTCATAAGTAAGTAGCTGTTAAGAACTGTCGCGGTTCGACGATGTCTATTATTCCGTGTATGTCATAGATATTTTTTGGAAAAAAAACGACGTTTCAACATACCGAATCGAAAATTAACGAACGTAAATGTCATGCCGTTGAAAAAAACGAAAAATAGATTATGTTTTTTATTCATATTCGTGCATTGTATTTGTTCACAATATTTATTCGCGTACACATACAGTGACATGTGTATAAGGGATGTTTTCGAATTATAATACATACAACAATGACTTGTTGATGTGACGGAAGAACAATTCAGCGACGGTACTTCGGCGTGAGCTCGAGAATATATTGTTATTGTTATTGATGATGAAAAGTACTAATAACGCGTTTATTTGGACAATCCGTTTGCCAAAAAACCGATAAAAAAAAGGCGACCCGCAAGTATTCCAGTACACGTATAGTATTTTATCATTGTAAACGCACAGCAAACACGCCTCGAGAATCCAATGGAATGTCATTTAAGCCGAATTAAATGTGGTAGACCGCTCTACTGACAGGTCACGCACCAAGGCCACTCGTGTACACAAACACACGAACACGCGTACACACAAGCAAGCAGAAGGGTGCGTTTGAGATAATAAATTCAATGACAGACAATCCTGCGCCTTTCCGTGTGACTGACGCGGGGCGCGTGGTCGGCCGGAAGTGCGTGCGGCGCCGCCGACAGATCTCTTCTGACATTAAAATGTATCGTCGTCGTCGCCGCCGTAGTATTTCCCAAGGAGTATAATTTAATTTTTCTATATTTTTCATTTACCCGTTCGCCCAAATTTTTTTTTTTTTTTTAGAGGGTATAACGCCGTACACGGTATATCATGTATACTGGTAGCGACCATACGTGAGGTATAAACGATGACGATTACGATGCGGAGGAAATACGCTTCGATGCTGGACTACGGCGTACAATCAACGCCGAAACAAGTGAAACTTCATAAACCCACCCTTATATATATTGTTAATTCGGAAATACTACTATAACCATCAGTAAAATTACTTTCAACAACTGCTCCCCTTTATACATAAACAATTTGTAATAATAAACAAATTTGTAAACAATGTACACAACGTTGACCATCGTAATTTTCAAGGTAAAAATGAAAATTTTTCATTTCCGCTGCCCACCCGAGAAAATCGCGTTCCGATCACGGGCACCTCTCACCATGCCCCACCCCTTGCTGAGACCAACGGCTAAGGAAACATCACAGTCTACATATTATGCGCGGGGCAAAAATATACTGCGCAACATTTGCACTGCGTCACAATTACGTTCGTCTTGACATAAACCTTACGGTTTTGAACGTGCCGTATCATACGCCAAATGTCGAATCGTCGACTTACGACGGAAGCGAACACTCTGCACCGCGACGGGTGACCTCATCCGAAGTAAATTTCGTAAAACGTAATCGTTACACGATAATTATCCGAAATATCGGTGGTGTCGAGGGCGCAAAACGGACGCGACGACAGCGCTAACCCCGAGGGTTCAGATAAGGGTAGGGGGCAGGATGTCGAGACAGTCTGTGGTGTTTCGACGTGCACACGGTGTACGCGTTTCGGTGCGCGCGCCAGGTAAGGGATCGGTTAGGGGAGGGGGGGTACCGCGACGTAATGTAGTAATTAGTGTTGTGCGCAAGGATTTTCTCGTCCGCCGTGAAGACCGTCACGTTACACCGTCCACCCCCGTAACAGCGGCGCGACAGTACCGTGGGCGAGTAGACGGTGGGTGAGCAAACTACCCCTACTGCCGGCGAAAAAGACGCGATGAATAATTCATAAGCGTCGCACGTACGCGGACCCGTGCACATGCGCGCCGGCGCCGTGCCGTCTCGCGGCATCCAAGACCGACCGGGCGACCTAGGACGAGGACGACGACCGCGGTCACATCCGTTTCGTTAGTGTAACAATAATAATAATAATAAGTAACATTGATAATGATGATAACTGATAATACGGATCGTAATAATATCGACGTCTTTTTCACAGAAATAATGATGAATAAGGGGGGATCCCGAAAAAATAATCAGAACGG